CGAAACTAATTGCAAACGTGTAAAAACATTGCAAATTATTTTCTATTTGTTAAACGCTTATTTTACTTGGATTTTCCCTTGTAGGATTGTTCCACTAAACTCTGATTTTTTATTTCTCTTTTTTAAAAGACGTCTTCTTTGTTGTCCATCCGAAAATGGAATGGCCGACCATTTTATTACAGTGTACACTGTATGTTTTAATATATATATTCAGAATACTTATTGGGCATCGGGTGACCCAGATGACTTGGTACTAAAAGTAATGTTTACATCTCGACCAACCTGACTAGATTGATTGGCCTCAATCAATAATTTACGACTTATAAATCTACTGAGCAGTGTGGCCTGCTGGTGCGGGTGACTGGATGGAGTGATTGGTTTCGGCAATGGGCGAACACCATTTTCGAATTTTCATAGCTTCGACAACGCCATTGTAAGGTAAATGTGTCAACTGACAATTATCTATGTCTCTAATGACGTAGCGGTCGTTTGGCAGGATTTTATGGATTACATATGGGCCGCGATATTTTTGTATGATTTTCTTATTTGTTCCAACCGAGGTATCAACATGTCTAATCACCACAAATTCACCTACCGAGTACTTCCTGGCAGGTACACTGTTCTTAAGGAAGTATTGTACACTATATTCTTGTGACTTATCTATCTTCTTCGAGGCACTGTCCCGCATTCCAACTAAGACCCTAGGTGTGTCATCCAATAGCTTATCTTCCAGAAATTCAGTTAGTTCGTCTACTATGCAGCCACGCTGACATATGCCAAAAAGCAATTCGCTAGGAGTGCTTTTGGTTGTACTATAGACCGTATTGTTTATGGCAAATTCTACTTGTGAAAGTTTCGCTGTCCAATCCGAATGTTCTATTGATTCGGTTAACTTACTTAGCATCGCTTTTAAGACGCGATTTACTCTCTCGACTTGGCCATTTGCTTGTGGCGAAGCCACTGCGACCTTTACGTGGTTTATATTCCTTTTTAAGAGGAAATTACTAAAGTCGAGGGAAGTAAAGCACGTACCTCTATCCGTAATTATACGCCTTGGGCGACTGTAGTAACCGAAGTACTTTTCCAAAGAACAACAAACTTCCTTGGTACTCGTAGAATTGACCGGGTACAGTTTAACAAACTTTGTAAAGGCATCTATAGCGACTAGTATATGCTTACGTTTTGATCTAAGAGCCGGCAAGGGACCAAAGTGGTCCAAGTGGAGAGTATCGAAAGGTATTGGTTTTTTTGGGATACTGAACATATTGTGCTCGTTATATCGCGCTGGAGCGGAGTATATGATGCACTTGATGCAGTTCCTAATGAACCTGCCAATTTTGTCCCTCATGTGATCAAACCAGTAGTGTATACGCATCTGATCGTAGCATTTGTCTACTCCCAGATGACAGACTTTCTCGTGTACCATGCGAATGATGTTTTCTTGCATCTCCGTAGGTAAACATAGTAAAGTCCGATTGCCGAGCTTGCGGAAAACAAGGCCATCCAGCAGTTCATAGCCCACTACCTCGCCCTTTTCCAATTCTTCGGCTAGTTCTTGTAACCTTGGATCCCTATTTTGTAGAACTTGAATCTGAAAATCCAAGTTTTCATGATCTATCGCGGCAAGTAATTTCCCTTTTCCTAAGCACATAATTTCGTCTCCCGACTGAGCCTTACACGGTTCTTGGTGGCCTTCGAAATTACCTATTGGGGTTGGACAAGAGTTTGACTCTTTCTTGTGGACGATGATCCCATCGACAACGGATTTGGCACCATGTGTGGGATAGCGCCTTAGTGCGTCAGCATGATTCAGGTTTACGCCTCTCCTGTGCTGAATCGAGTATTTGAAATTTTCCAACTCTAAGGCCCATCGCGCTATTCTCGGGTTTACCTGCTTCTTATTTAGGGTCATGGTGAGTGAGTTGCAATCGGTAACAACTTTGAATGGTATTCCTTCCAAATAAATCCGAAACCTTCTTAGAGCATAAATAATGGACAGCGTTTCTAATTCAAAGCTATGATACCTGGATTCGGCGGCCGTCGTGGTCTTTGAAAAATATGCAACCGGATGAAACTTTCTGTCGTCCTGCTTTTGCAATAGGACTGCCCAAAACCCTTGATTACTGGTATCGCAATGAAGTTCCGTTTCACGAGTATGATCATATATTGCTAAAACAGGTGACCTAGCTAACTGTTCTTTCAATTCCTTGAAAGCTTCTAAGCAGCTGTTGGAAAAATCGAATACTGCCTCTTTGCGTAACAAGTCTAAAAGCGGTTTAGCAGTACGCGAAAACGATGGTATAAACTTTCGAAAGTACGAAAACAGGCCAAGACACGAGCGAAGTTCCTTATTGTTCCTTGGTATGGGATAGTTAGTAATTGCGCGGACGTGAGCATCGGAGGGCTGTATGCCCATAGGACCCACCATGTATCCTAGGTATTCAATTTTATTATAACCAAACTTGCACTTATTTAATTTGAGTTCAAGCCCTCTACTGTATATCCTCTCTAACACTTTTCCCACGGTACGAAGGTGACATTCGAAGTCAGTAGATGCAATTAAGATATCATCGATATATGTATACTATAATGGTCTTTGAATCTATCAAATCGCGAAAAATGTTGTAGACGAATCTCTGAAAATTTGCCGGTGCATTCTTAAGTCCAAACGGCATTCGAAGGTATTCAAATTGCACATGTGGGGTTACAAATGAGGTTAATGGAACCGATTCCTTATCCATGGTCAGTTGGTTAAAACCATCTTTCAAATCTAATAATGTGAACCACTTCTTCCCCGACATATACTCGACACAATCCTCTATTAGAGGTAAAGGAAAATTATCCCGAATGGTTTTCTTATTTAAGGTCCTATAGTCTATACACATTCTAGTTTCACCACTCCTTTTCTTCACCAGCACTATAGCAGATGCATAAGGGGAGTTACTAGGTTGTATAACCTGTCTATTCAACAAATCCTCAATAATTTTCTATACCCGTTCCTTGTCTTGAAACGATAATCGCCTCGGTAAACAGTAGAAGGGTGTGTCATCAGTTAAACGAATCTTCATTTTATAATCATAAGGCGTTCTTTCTAAACCTATGTGTGATATATACGAATTATTTAGAACTAACATTATTGCTTCTCGTTTAAATTTATCAAGGCCAGGTCCTAAGTCTATATCTGGCTCATGGGCCGAAACGTCAACAGCATATAATTCATTTAATATACCGGTATATTCAATATAGTCCTTATTACTTTCGTGGCTTAAGTGTTTTATCTTAGCATCTGGTGCTTGCGACATGTTAATACCTCTTCCTCGGACCTCGACTCGACCGCTTGCATAGTTATGCAAATCTTTCTTACCGTCACCATCAGTTACTTTACCCACCACCAAATCAGAAACACTGTGCTTTATTTTAGAAGAAATATTTTTATTGAATTCAGTTTTTGAACAAAAAGAAACATGTTTTAGTTTATTTTGTACTTCAGTCTNTTTTACCCACCACCAAATCAGAAATACTGTGCTTTATTTTAGAAGAAATATTTTTATTGAATTCAGTTGTTGAACAAAAAGGAAAATGTTTTAGTTCATTTTGTGCTTTAGTCTTATTAGTGCTGCTTTTTAATTCATATGCAGCGTCTTTATTAATTTATGTATGTTAAATAACTTCATAAAGTCCCGGCCGGGTATTAGGGGCACTGTTATGGTATCATCTGGGACTATCATTGTCGGAACATATCTGGTTTGATTACGAAATTTCACCGCACACAAAGCTGTGCCAAATGAGTGGATTTTGCATTTGCCGATGCCGATAAATTTTGTTGGTAAGGTGGTGAGCGATAAATTAATACATCGTGGTACTTTTGACTTTTGCATCAGACTAATTGGACTACCGGAGCCAATAAGAGAATAAATATTTATAAAACCTGTGTTTCTGATTAGGTTTGGTTTACAGAAGGCCACACTTACCCATTGTTTTACGTTTATAGCATCATCCTCGTTTGCTGATCCTTCAGAGACTAGGGCTACACTAGTGACTCGATTCCGCTTCTTCGGACAATCATTGTGTCTGTGTCCCATTTGATGACAGGTAAAGCAAGCACCTGGAGGTCTATACGGCTTCGGGCAACTGCTTTGGTAGTGTCCAAATTGGGAGCAGTTATAGCATCGTACTGAAGTTAGGTCACCAGAACCAGCAGCGGAAGGTGCCTTTGGTCGAGGGTTGCGGGTGACCGTCGTAGCGTAGGACTTAGCTGTGGAAGACATAGACCTGCGTTGTTCATACCGGTCCATTCGCCGAATGAGTTCACACATTGTGTTGGCGCCATATAATATACTGAGGTTGTTGCTGATGTCTGGTATCCCGTCGATTATCAAATCGACCAATTCTTCTTCCTCGATATCCATCTTTGAGGCGATAGACTGCATGGCAACCACGTAGCTTATGCATGACCCCGAGGACTTTAGCTTACGTGCTCGTAGTTGGCGATAAATTTCATATCTGCTGACTGTGCGTTGGAACATTGTTCGCACCAACATTCTTAGACTGGCGTAGTTGGACGCACCGTGGTTGAATACACATTCCTTGGCCGTGCCGCTCATGCAACGTCGCAGAGCCAGACACTTCTGCCCGTCAGTTAAATTTTTTGCTTCAGTGTAGTCCTCGAATTGGGTTAGCCACTTTGTTATATCGTAGTGATCGTCACCACTAAACTTCGGGACAGCTGCTTCGAGTTCCTCGAAATTTATTTGGCTTCTTTCAGGCGCGTTGTAGCATTGATTCTGCAATTCGTTTAACTCACGGCGAAGCCGTAGGATTCTGAACTGCTGTTTCAGCCTATCTGCTTCTTCAGAAAGATAGTTGGGTGGACTTGCACCCAATTAATTACGAAGTCAAAACAAAACTCAATATTAATAATTAGTTTCATTTCAAAACAATTCATTTTTGACGGCGAAAAACTCTTGAACGAAAAGTTAAATACTGCTTAACAACTTTTTTTAGAGTACTGATTGATTTGAAATAAAACTGAATATTGAAAAACATTCAAAAATCGCCGATAGTTCCCAAAGGAAAGTAGCATTGAGTTTTGTTTTGCTTTCATAATTAATTGTAGAGCATAATCAAAAAAAAAATCTGAGTACGGAGTTAAAGAACAAATTAGCTTGGTAAATANATCGTAAAAAATTCTCATTCTTGTACCCTCTGCAGAGTCTATTAATAGACCTTCAGATTCTGGCGGTTCTAAATCTGAAAGGTGATTTTCTTCTCCCAAAGATGGCTCAAAATCGTCCTGGAGTATGCAAATATTATGCAGTATAAATGCAGCAAATGCAGTTTTTATACAGTTTTCAATTTTTAGCTCCAGCTCTCTATTAAAAATATTTCTCCACCGATTTTTTAAAATTCCAAATGCAGATTCTACAATTATACGTCCTTTACTATGAGCAGTGTTAAATCTAGCCTGATTTGCCGTTAAGGGCTCTTTAAATGGTGTGATTACTGCCACCGGATATAGTTGACACGGGTAGCCTTTATCACCAAATAAAAGCCAACCTTGAGGCGGATAGTCCTTCTTAGCGTACAAAGGACTGTTGACAAATACCCTTGTATCATGAACGGAGCCTGGATAACCAATGAACACGTCTGTAAATCTATATTCACTATCCACAACTGCTTGAGCCTGAATAGAATAAAATTTTTTGTGATTTATATATTCATCATGTTTGTTTATGGGACATTTTATCCGAATATGCGTTCCGTCAATAGCGCCAATAAAATTTGTAAAAGCAGTAGACTTAGTTTTTTGGCAAAATTTAGCAGCGATTCTCTCGTGGTCTTCCGAAGTGCCATGGTTTATTAAGTGGCGCATTGAAATTACTTTATCCAACATTTTTTTAATAATGCTGCAAGCTGTGTAGCGACTCAAACCCAAAAACTCGGCTACCACCCTATAGCTGCATCCGCATGCCACCCAATATAAAAAGCACATCACTTCGTAATCCACAGACCATCCGTGATGTTTTTTAGGAATATGCACCACAATTTTTCTGAACGAACTAGCCGACAACCTGAGATGCATTTTTGTTATTTTGTTATCCCCATTCATTATGGCATTCATGGTTTTGGAATAAACTGCAGGTTGCATATATAAAATAGCCTTAAAAATAAAAAGTGAGGACATAGAAAAAGGCACCAATGCAAGCACTTTTACCTGGCGTTGTCTTTTCTTTTTTAATGCCAAAATTAAAACGTCCATTAATTGCAGTGACCTGATTTCAAAAAGAATTGCAATCAATAATGGTAAATATTTTCTTAAAATATTCATTTTCCTTTGATTTATAATTGTTTATTCGACGCCAATTTTCAGCGGTTTCAAAATTTTACTGCTGTCAAAAAAGATTTCATTTCACACAGCAGATTGGTAAAATTGTCTCACCATAGTAAAAATACAATTCACCAGCTTTCCCCATAGCACTTTGCTACCGATTCACACACGCTCTAACTTGTAATATTACATCGTACATGATAATGAACTGTTAAATGCTGAAAACGCTAGTAACTTGTAGATCACTCAAACTTGGGTGTGCTTAATGGACTGTCTGGGCGAATGCGCTAGCAGGCATTGGAGTCTACACAGCTATACAAACCTTGATTTTTTTTTGTTTTTTAATAAAGACTTAAATATATTCGGAAATTTAGAATTTTGCTTGATAAATTCACAAAATTTACGTTTTTCATATAAATATAATCTTACAATAGACCCTTTTTTTAATTTTAAACTTACATTTAAGAAAACTGCATTCAGTGCTATAACTACGATTTGAGTTTTCCAGTTTATAAAACACAAGCATTAATTATGTATTTAACTATTGATATTATTCTTCATTAAGCATGAGTGTCAGCATACATTAAAGATGGATATTATACTTAACCTACATTTTGTTCATAAATAACACATAATTATGCATATTTTATCCTCGAAAAGAACTTTTTCTAATCATGAGACGAAATTCCCCACAGTAAGTGTTGCCGTGCGCGCAAATCGAAAGCGCCACACAACCCAAAAGTACTCCTCGAGGACCAAATGGTGAAAAACTGCGAAAAGGTTTATTGCTGTATATACTGTGGTGAACAGCCTTCAGCCCACACTCCCAAAACACGTTTTCAAAGTGTTTTCGATGTCGGTCAGAACATGGTATTAACAAGTAAGAACAGCGCATATATCGCAAAAACTGGTATCTTAACAATCAGTGGTATAGGAGATAAAGCATAGATTTTGACAATTTTCTCAGTAGACTTTGTATTATTATTTATAAAATAGCTTACAAAATTTATCGGCTTTAGCTGTCCAAATATAGGAGTTTTACAGTAAAACCCCATATCCGAACAATCAGTTGTATGGAGGCAATAAATGGGTTATATTGACGCGATCTTTGTTCATTTTCACTGTAAATATTCTTTTCATAACGGGTGAAAATATTGCGAAATTTCATGTTCCCACCTTCATAATTGCAGGAGTTATAACAAAAAATCGCATATCTGAACAATCAGTTGTATGGGAGCTATAAGTAATATTTCATATTTCATCTTTATTCAGTCTATGGTTTACAATCTTACAGACTAGAAGTAGGCTTAAAAGTGTTAACGGTGACTAGTATATGTACAATTACGAAAATAGGTTTCAAGAGATGATTTAAAAAGATTTCTTGGAAACGAAAAGTCGATATCTAAGCTCTTTGAGATATTGTTAAATTCCACAAGGCCTCGAAAAATAGGTGCAAAAGATGAGTAGTTAGTTTTAACGGCAGGAACGTAAAAGGGGATGTGAGAGCGAAGAGTTCTGAGAGGCACATTAAAGGTAACCTGCTCAAGAAGCGATGGGCAGTCAATGGAGCCAGAGATAAGATCGAAGACGAATAAGAGTAATTGGGTACGCCCTCTATTTTCCAATGATAGCAAATTTATTAGCTTACACCGGGAGTAATATGAGGGAATCGGATCTGAGAAGTTAAGAGAAGCGAGGGCAAATCGAATAAACACCTTTTGAACTCGCTCAATCCTAGAGGCGTGACAATTATAAATAGGGCTCCATATAATAGAGGCATACTCAAGTTTAGATCGTACTAAGGAATTATACAATGCTTTCCGAGTGTAAGGGTCTCTAAAATCCTTGGCATATCTACGAATAAATGCTAAATTACTATAAACTTTTGGGAGTAAATGACAAACATGATTTATAAATGAAAAAATTCGAGTCAAACACGACACCAACAAATTCACTAACAGAAGTAAGCTGATGGTTTACGAGGTTGTAATTTGAAGTAAGAGTGTTTTGAGATTTAGATAAGGTCATCTTAAAGCACTTTTTTACATTCAAAGACAGTTTATTATATTCACACCAATTTAAAAGACGATCTAAATCTTCCTGAAGAAAGAGAACATCAGATGAGGAGGTTATTCTACGAAAGAGTTTTAAATCATCGGCATACAATAAAAAACTGGCGTGTTTGACACAGGAGCTAATATCGTTTATAAACAGGACAAACAGTAGGGGGCCAAGAATGCTACCCTGGAGTACACCTGATGTTACAACAAAGGGATTAGATTTACAATCATCGATGTGAACAGACAGAGTCCTATTTGTAAGGTAAGACTTTAGCCAAGCTAGGAAATTAGAGTGAACACCAATGCACTCCAACTTGTGTAGCAATAATAGGTGTGGTACCTTATCGAAGGCTTTAGAAAAGTCCGTATAAATGGTGTCTACCTGGCAGCCATCTTTGAAGCATGAACCACAAAATTCTGAAAAAGAAGCTAACTTAGTGACCGTTGAACGACCAGCTACAAAACCATGTTGGTGGGGCTCAATCATTCTTTTGGCAAGAAAAGAGAGTTTAAAATGTATCACTTTTTCGAATANTACAATGCTTTCCGAGTGTAAGGGTCTCTAAAATCCTTGGCATATCTACGAATAAATGCTAAATTACTATAAACTTTTGGGAGTAAATGACAAACATGATTTATAAATGAAAAAATTCGAGTCAAACACGACACCAACAAATTCACTAACAGAAGTAAGCTGATGGTTTACGAGGTTGTAATTTGAAGTAAGAGTGTTTTGAGATTTAGATAAGGTCATCTTAAAGCACTTTTTTACATTCAAAGACAGTTTATTATATTCACACCAATTTAAAAGACGATCTAAATCTTCCTGAAGAAAGAGAACATCAGATGAGGAGGTTATTCTACGAAAGAGTTTTAAATCATCGGCATACAATAAAAAACTGGCGTGTTTGACACAGGAGCTAATATCGTTTATAAACAGGACAAACAGTAGGGGGCCAAGAATGCTACCCTGGAGTACACCTGATGTTACAACAAAGGGATTAGATTTACAATCATCGATGTGAACAGACAGAGTCCTATTTGTAAGGTAAGACTTTAGCCAAGCTAGGAAATTAGAGTGAACACCAATGCACTCCAACTTGTGTAGCAATAATAGGTGTGGTACCTTATCGAAGGCTTTAGAAAAGTCCGTATAAATGGTGTCTACCTGGCAGCCATCTTTGAAGCATGAACCACAAAATTCTGAAAAAGAAGCTAACTTAGTGACCGTTGAACGACCAGCTACAAAACCATGTTGGTGGGGCTCAATCATTCTTTTGGCAAGAAAAGAGAGTTTAAAATGTATCACTTTTTCGAATAGCTTTGAGCAGACAGACAGTTTCGAAATAGGACTATAATTTGTGATATCGTTTCTATTTCCAGATTTAAAGACTGGGGTTATAGACGCAATTTTCCATCTGTTAATAAATAATCCAGTCGAAAGAGATAGGTTGAAAATATGACATAAAGGAAAACATAATGACAGACTACATCGTTTAACGAAGTGGGCACAAAAACCATCAGAATCACATTTCAATGTCGGAGTTAGGGTAGACATGGCGTAAGATCTAGGCGTTGGGTCGGCCAGTATTTTTGTGGTAGATTTATAGAATCACTCTCACATGCGAAATTCGAGCTGAAAAATTTTGCAAAGAGTTCCACAGTATCTGGTAGAGATTTCGAGGATTGACCGTTAAAGTACATGCAAGTCGGAATATTAGAACTAGCCCGCTTAGAGCGTACGAAATTTCAAAAAGCTTTTGGGTTGTCTTTAAGTTCAGACTCAAGTCTCCTAATGTANATCTAGGCGTTGGGTCGGCCAGTATTTTTGTGGTAGATTTATAGAATCACTCTCACATGCGAAATTCGAGCTGAAAAATTTTGCAAAGAGTTCCACAGTATCTGGTAGAGATTTCGAGGATTGACCGTTAAAGTACATGCAAGTCGGAATATTAGAACTAGCCCGCTTAGAGCGTACGAAATTTCAAAAAGCTTTTGGGTTGTCTTTAAGTTCAGACTCAAGTCTCCTAATGTACTGGTTATAAAGAAATTTATCAAGAACATTAAACTGTTTCGCATAGTTAAGGTATTGCTCTTTGAGATAAGTATTGTGAATATTTGCCATATGGCGCTTGTAGCATTTATTTCTCTTATTTTTAAGATTTTTTAGAGTGACAGAGTACCAGGGTAATTTATGAGGCTTGGAGGGTAAAGCAGCCAGTTGCTCGGAGAAGACTTCAGACATAATGCAAAGAAAGGTTTCATAAGAGGCATTAACATCTTTTGTATTGAAGATATCACACCAATTTACATTATTTATAGCCAGGTTTATGACGTCATAATTTGCATCCCGAAAATTGTAGGAAATCCTATTATTTTGTATTAAGGGGAGCTATCAAAAAACTCTAAAGAAACAATAAGGGGATTATGATGCATATCAGAATAACAGATCGGAGTCTTACATTCAGAGAGATTAGATATCAAATTTTCGTCTACAAACACTAGATCTAATAACTTAGATAACTTATTGAATATGCAATTAATTTGCGTAAGATTAAGGCTAAAAAGACTATCAATAAAGTTTATTTCATGCGAACGAGTAACGTTGGTTGGGGTAAGGCGCCCCGAGTTTTGAAAGCATGTCCAGTTAATGCCAGGTAGATTGAAGTCGCCAAGAATACAAAGATTACAATTTCCATTACTTTCATAGATGTGTGTGATACTCTCTATGTGATAGTTATATAACTCATCTGAACTGTTAGGTGGGACATGATACACAGATAAACAAAGAGCCGAACGAGCCAACAACGCGCACACATAATTGGTCAATTAAAGTACCGTGGTTGAGCAATTCAAAAAATGACGACCTTAA